CCGATGGCCGGAAGCAGTAGCTCTAAGCAACACCAGGGCTAAAAGTGTGTGCCAGGCACTAGCAGACATTTTTGCCAGGGTAGGTTGGCCCTCCGACATCCTCACAGATGCAGGGACTAATTTCCTGGCAGGAACTATGGAAAACCTTTGGGAAGCTCATGGGGTAAATCACTTGGTTGCCACTCCTTACCACCATCAAACAAATGGCATGGTGGAGAAGTTTAATGGAACTTTGGGGGCCATGATACGTAAATTTGTAAATGAGCACTCCAATGATTGGGACCTAGTGTTGCAGCAGTTGCTCTTTGCCTACAGAGCTGTACCACATCCCAGTTTAGGGTTTTCCCCATTTGAACTTGTATATGGCCGTGAGGTTAAGGGGCCATTGCAGTTGGTGAAGCAGCAATGGGAGGGATTTACACCTTCTCCAGGAACTAACATTCTGGACTTTGTAACCAACCTACAAAACACCCTCCGAACCTCTTTAGCCCTTGCTAGAGAAAACTTACAGGATGCTCAAAAAGAGCAAAAAGCCTGGTATGATAAACATGCCAGAGAGCGTTCCTTCAAAGTAGGAGACCAGGTCATGGTCTTAAAGGCGCTCCAGGCCCATAAAATGGAAGCATCGTGGGAAGGGCCATTCACGGTCCAGGAGCGCCTGGGAGCTGTTAATTATCTCATAGCATTCCCCACCTCCAACCGGAAGCCTAAGGTGTACCATATTAATTCTCTAAAGCCCTTTTATTCCAGAGAATTAAAGGTTTGTCAGTTTACAGCCCAGGGAGGAGACGATGCTGAGTGGCCTGAAGGTGTCTACTACGAAGGGAAAAGTGCTGGTGGTGTGGAAGAGGTGAACCTCTCCATCACCCTTGGGCGTATGCAGCGACAGCAGATCCAGGAGCTGTGCACTAGCTACGCGCCAACGTTCTCAGCCACCCCAGGACTGATTGAACGGGCATACCACTCCACTGACACAGGTAATGCTCACCCAATTAGGGTCCAACCTTACCGGGTGTCTCCTCAAGCTAAAACTGCTATAGAACGGGAGATCCAGGATATGTTACAGATGGGGGTAATCCGCCCCTCTGAAAGTGCATGGGCATCTCCAGTGGTTCTAGTTCCCAAACCAGATGGGGAAATACGTTTTTGCATGGACTACCGTAAGCTAAATGCTGTAACTCGCCCAGACAACTATCCAATGCCACGCACAGATGAACTATTAGAGAAACTGGGACGGGCCCAGTTCATCTCTACCTTGGACTTAACCAAGGGGTACTGGCAGGTACCGCTAGATGAATCTGCCAAGGAAAGGTCAGCCTTCATCACACATCTCGGGCTGTATGAATTTAATGTACTCCCTTTCGGGCTGCGAAATGCACCCGCCACTTTCCAAAGACTTGTAGATGGTCTCCTAGCGGGATTAGGAGAATATGCAGTCGCCTACCTTGATGACGTGGCCATATTTTTGGATTCCTGGGCAGACCACCTGGAACATCTACAAAAAGTCCTTGAGCGCATAAGGGAGGCAGGACTAACTGTTAAGGCTAAGAAGTGTCAAATAGGCCTAAACAGAGTGACTTACCTTGGACACCAGGTGGGTCAAGGAACTATCAGCCCCCTACAGGCCAAAGTGGATGCTATCCAAAAGTGGCCTGTCCCAAAGTCAAAGAAACAGGTTCAATCCTTCTTAGGCTTGGCCGGTTATTACAGACGATTTGTACCGCACTACAGCCAAATCGCTGCCCCACTGACAGACCTAACCAAAAAGAAACAGCCAAATGCTGTTCAGTGGACCGGAAAGTGTCAGAAGGCCTTTAACAAGCTTAAAGCAACACTCATGTCTGACCCTGTACTAAGGGCCCCAGACTTTGACAAACCGTTCCTAGTAACCACAGATGCGTCCGAGCGTGGTGTGGGAGCAGTTTTAATGCAGAAAGGACCTGATCAAGAATTCCACCCTGTAGTGTTTCTCAGCAAAAAACTGTCTGAGAGGGAAAGCAACTGGTCAGTCACTGAAAAAGAATGTTACGCCATTGTCTACGCTCTGGAAAAGCTACGCCCATATGTTTGGGGACAGCGTTTCCACCTGCAAACCGACCATGCTGCACTGAAGTGGCTTCACACCGTCAAGGAAACTAACAAAAACCTTCTTCGGTGGAGTTTAGCTCTCCAAGATTTTGATTTCGACGTCCAACACATCTCAGGAGCTTCTAACAAAGTGGCTGATGCACTCTCCCATGAAAGTTTCCCAGAATCAACTGGTTAAAATCGTCCTTGAGATGTGGAAAATATTGTTAGTCTTTATGTACTTGGTAGTATATTTAGAGATGCATGTGTCTTATTAACTCTGTTTTTCCTAGAGCTCCAGGAAGAAATCCCAGCCAGTGTTACACCCTAGCTGAGATTTGGGGGGCGTGTCATAAATATAAAGGGAAGGATAAACCCCTTTGAAATCCCTCCTGGCCAGGGGAAAGCTCCTCTCACCTGTAAAGGGTTAAGAAGCTAAAGGTAACCTCGCTGGCACCTGACCAAAATGACCAATGAGGAGACAAGATACTTTCAAAAGCTGGGAGGAGGGAGAGAAACAAAGGGTCTGTGTCTGTCTGTATGCTGCGTTTGCCAGGGACAGAACAGGAATGGAGTCTTAGAACTTTTAGTAAGTAATCTAGCTAGGTATGTGTTAGATTATGATTTCTTTAAATGGCTGAGAAAAGAATTGTGCTGAATAGAATAACTATTTCTGTCTGTGTATCTTTTTTGTAACTTAAGGTTTTGCCTAGAGGGGTTCTCTATGTTTTTGAATCTAATTACCCTGTAAGATATCTACCATCCTGATTTTACAGGGAGGATTTCTTTATTTCTATTTACTTCTATTTTTTATTAAAAGTCTTCTTGTAAAAAACTGAATGCTTTTTCATTGTTCTCAGATCCAAGGGTTTGGGTCTGTGGTCACCTATGCAAATTGGTGAGGCTTTTTATCCAACATTTCCCAGGAAAGTGGGGGTGCAAGTGTTGGGAGGATTGTTCATTGTTCTTAAGATCCAAGGGTCTGGGTCTGTAGTCACCTAGGCAAATTGGTGAGGCTTTTTACCAAACCTTGTCCAGGAAGTGGGGTGCAGGGTTTTGGGAAGTATTTTGGGGGGAAAGACGCGTCCAAACAGCTCTTCCCCAGTAACCAGTATTAGTTTGGTGGTGGTAGCGGCCAGTCTAAGGACAACGGGGGGAATATTTTGTACCTTGGGGAAGTTTTGACCTAAGCTGGTAAAGATAAGCTTAGGAGGTTTTTTTCATGCAGGTCTCCACATCTGTACCCTAGAGTTCAGAGTGGGGGAGGAACCTTGACAACGGTAATCTTTGCTGATCCCATCTTCAGCAATATGGCATTGAAAGAGGCAAGTAGGATAGTCCAAGTCATTTAGAGCTTAACAGCCTTTAACCTGCTAGGTGAGCACTCTGGCCCTGATCCAACAAAGCATTTGAGCATATGCCTAACTGTAAGCACAAGTCCAATGGGACTGTTCACATGCTTAAAACTGAGCCCATGCTTAAGAGCTTTGCTGGATTGAAATCTGTTGTAGAGGCATCTAGGAATGCCTCTACAATAGATAGAGAATCCATGGACCAGGACCCCCTTGTATTAGGCACAGTACAAACCACAGAACAAAAAGACAGTCCCGGCTCCAAAGAAGTTACAGTCTAAGGAATGTACTAATAGTAATAATGTTGGTGTCAATTTAATAAATCTTATTATCTGTATCAGAGTTAGGAAATATTTCTGAAGCATGCATAGGTAACTTTGAGTAAAGATATTTATAGTTAAAGTAGGCCTCGATGTATAACGAAAAAAGTTCAAAGCTTTTTTAACACACACTAGCATTTTACAGGCTCAATCCTGGTTCTGTTGAAGTCAGCTGGTATTTTGCCATTAACTTCAATGGGAGAGGATCAAGCCCTAAGATATGGTATTTTGCTGACTTACCAAAAACAGTGGCGTAGTCCTCCTGAAAATTTAAAAATCTAGTTTGAGTAAATGTCACTCTCAAGCCCAAGACCATGTTTTTCCAAAGCACTGACATTTAAACTAGTGCATCACTAGAGTGTAAAATATTGGCTCTTCAAAGCTTGTATTCATATTTATCAAAAGCCCAAGTTGTACATATCTCTTAAAGGAGACCCACTGGCCCTGCTCCTGATCTCTCTTGCACTGATTTCACACTCAAGTAACTTCACTGACTTCCGTAGAATTATTCCTGATTTTCATTTATGTGAAGGATCAGAATCATGCCCATTCTCTTTAATAGAGTAGTACAATGTTCCGGGCAAAATGATTGCTTCTAAGAGCCACATGCTGTATACAGAGCACTTGAAAAAATTCAGCAAGTGCTGCATTATATAGTACAAACTCTGTCTGGGTGGCAGCATGCATTTCATTTGCTAAGTATAAGTTCAGATCCTTGATGAAGCTTGACAAATTTAAATTCAAGATCAAAACTTTACCCCATTCTTCCTCCACACACCCCAAATCTTCTATAAATTGGATTAAGTAGTGAAGTGGCATGGAGTTATAAGTTAACTCAGGTCAATATCCCATTTTCCTGAGTTATTGAATACTTACATTCTTTTGTTCGGGAATGTTGAATCACAAACCTCCTTTATGATTCCTTGCCCTGAACAGTTTTTCCCCTTGCTGAATTGTCACAAAACTCAGTGCACAGTTTTCTTTTTTAAGGTATTATACGATGGGTAAAGACATTGGGCCAAATCCCTCTAATTTATAGTGGAACAATCCCATTTATTTCAGTGGGATTACATGTGTGACCAAGGCCAAACTGCGGCCCACTTTCTGTATCGTTGTACAGTTATGAATTCAAAGCTCCACTGAGGTAAACAATGGCTAACAATTCAAGCATTGACAGAGGCATGACATTTTATCATTTGACATTTACCTACACATACAAGAAAAAGAAAAACAGAGTGCAGCCAGTGTTCTTCTTTAACAGGTTCAGAATATGTCCCAATCTATTGAAGTTTTAAACCTACGGACGCAGAGGGATTTCCAGTATGTTTTAAAAATGGAAACACAAATGAAAGGGCTGAAGGCTAAGTTTCGGCAAATTGAAGATGATCGGAAGACATTAATGACAAAGCATTTTCAAGTAAGTTTTATTTTAATAATAATTTTGAAAGCCTGCTGCAAGCTATGCACTAAAAAGCAATGCATGAACTGCTAAGATCTCAGCTTGAAAAGCTTATACAAAAGCAATGTTGAAAAGGAACCACAATATAACCTCTTTTATTATGATAATCACTTTATTCAGTTTAACTGTAATAAGGAGTGACCATTAATTATTAAGACGTTAGAGAAATGTCAGTATAAACAGAATCCTATTTTACTGTGTCAATGTGCAGTTCATATTGAGAGATTTATATGCAGTCAAGCACTGGTGATAAATGAGGAAGCCAGGGAATTAATAGCAAATGACCAGAGGGTTTTGTACTTTTACAGTTGTCTGACATTTCGTAGAACTGAAAAGAAGAAAGATCATAATGAGTGAAGTTATTGTAATTGGTACTTAATAGCATTAAGATCTAAAAGTTTCTGATTAGAGATTGGGGGAGTTAGTTATTCGGGGTGTTCCCCCTCCCCTCTCTAATCCACATGTGCTATAAGAAAAAATGTTCATGTTAAATTTCCTAGTAATTTTTCACTGAACAAAAACTTTAGCCACCCTATCTGCTATGAAATCTAGTTGCTAGAGGTTAGAAATGGCTATTGTCTATTCTTAGGAAGCCATCTGGACTATACTAAGGAGACAATGTTACAGACATATAGTATTGCAGGTACTGGGCCCTAATGAGGGAGAGTTTTGAGTGTGCAAGGAATGCAAAATAGGGTCCATTAAATATATCCCAAGGATGCACATTTTATTCTGTCTTTTGGAGGTGCTCATGATAGCTGAAACATGAAAGCATAGGCTTAAATTTTCAAAAGGAGTGGCACCTGAGTGGCATCTGCTTGTTCAGAGGTACTGAGCACTGAACAGCTCCCATTGGTTTCAGTAATTAATTATACTAATAACCATACTCTCCAAGTGATCTCTTACTTATTATTCTCAGTTTAGCTGAAAGTCTGAGTATAATTCTGCTCAGCCAGTTTCAGCTTCATGAAAGTTTTCACCTTTACCCCTTGTAATGTTATTTGCCATAACACCACATTGTGTTGTGCCATTATATATTTTGAATTATTGTTATTTTTTTTTCCAGAGGAACAAAATACCAGAATTTGAAGGTCCAATTTGGCTGTCAAAGGCAGCAACCTGTTGTACTACTCCAACCTTTTAAATATTCGATATTTGTATTGGCTGGACATTCAGCTTCAGTTTGACAGTTTGCCAGGAGACTAAAACAGACAGACAGACAGACAATCAAATTAAAGAGTAATTGAAATGTCAAAATAATACTGTCTTTCGGAATTTTGACTGACTAAAATTTTGGTACTGTACGTCATTCCTGAGACACAAAAAATTGTCAGTTTGCCTGTCCTTGATACCCCCACATTGCTCCTATTAATACTGGTGGGAGTTATGTGGCAAATCAAAGGAGAAATAAGCTCAAAAATGGTGCAATTTCCTGCTTTTATTGCAATGTGAATTCATTCTTGTAATAATAGATTTAAGAGGTGTCTAAGTAGTATCAATAAAATCAAAAGAATCATTATAGTTACAGTGATCACAAAATCTTCACTTCCTTTAGTGACGTGATAAGATGCTCCAACTAAGAAGTTAATTTAAAAATGAAATACCAAAGGTAGTACAGTTCTGTAATTCTACCCATTGAAATTTCTTAGGGCTTGATCCTGTTCTCACTGAAATCAGTCACAGTGTTCCTATTTACTTCAATGGATGCAAAACTGGGCTCACACATTAAAATCTTTGGGGCAGAGAAAGTTTTTAATGTGTGTTTTAAATTGCTGTAAGTTTATGTTGCTGTATGCATAGTTTTCAGTAATAATAAAATAAACTCTCCTCAATGTCTCTGTTGCCTTTGACAGTGTCACCGATCCACTTTCTCTTGCTTGGGCTTCCATTACACTCTTCCCTGATTTCCTTTCTACAATTAACAGATGATGCTGAAGTAATCAGCCTTCTCTTCTGTCTTGTGATGTTCTCCAGGATTCTAACCTTGGTCTCCTCATTTTTCCCCTTTATGCTTTCCCCCGGGTGATCTCATCTGCTCCCAAGACCTCTGTTATCTCTGTTCTGGCAACTGTCAAACCTATATCTCCATCACTTTTTCTCCCTCTTCTGTCCAGGCTTGCATCTCCTCCTCTCTCTCTCTCTCTCTCATGGAAGTCCTGCTGTTTCCTTAAATTATCAATGGAATTATAAAACATCTACATGTACATCATCTGAAAAGGATAAACCCACTTCCATAAAAGAAAAATCTCTAATCTGCTAGAATTCTTTCAGGGTATCTACATGTTAGTGGCTGAACAAGAGCCAGTTGCCGTAATGTATTAAGACTTATTTTAACAAACTCCCTGGCAAAAGATATTAAGTGCATTACAGTTATAGGACAAGTGATAAATAGCCATTATGGATTAGAAATAGCTAAAAGACAAACATTCAATAAATGGGGATAAATGGTCGATTTTCAACATGGCAAAAGTTTAAGTAGGGGTTGTCTGGGAAAGAGAAAGAATGATGAGGTTGCAAAATTTGCAGATGACATACAATTATTTAAGTTAGTTAAAGCTAGAGAAGAATTTGAGGAAGTTCAGAGGCATCTAACAAAACTAGTTGATTGGGCAGTGAAAAATCACTAAAGACAAATGCACGTTGGCCAATATAATTTGAATCTCTCATATAATTGTTGGGATCTAAATTTAACTCTAACCACTTAGGGGAAAGAAAGACCTAGACATTACTGTGAACAGATCCATGAAAATGTCTGCTCAGAGTGCAGTGGCAGTCAAAAAAAGTAAATAAAATATTAATATTTATAAAAATTAAATAGAAAATCAGTGACAATATAATGTCACTGTTTCAGTGCTGTATCCTCACCTAGAACTGTGGGTCAGTCCTGGTCACCTTTTCTCCAGAAAAATATAGTCAACAGGAGTTTTGTATCACGTGCAGGGAAAGACGGGTCTCAGGAGATTTGTTTCCAATCTTTTAAAAATGAATTTTGTACTTTCAGTAGAAATTGAATATTCTCTTTTACATTTTATCCAACACATACTGTTGAATTTGCTAGACTTTCATGATACACTAGTAATGGATCTGAAACTAAAATCAATAAGAATATTAAAGTCATTTTATTAATCAGTTCAAAATATTATATTAAAGAGTGTTAGGGGACTGAACTCTTTAAGCTGCTCTAATGCCCAGTTGACTGCTTTTTGCAGGAGTTGAAGGAAAAGATGGATGAGCTGTTACCATTGATCCCAGTTCTGGAACAGTATAAAATGGATGCCAAGTTAATCACCCAGTTCAAGGAGGAAATTAGGAATCTGTCTGCAGTTCTCACCGGGATTCAGGAAGAAATTGGTGCCTATGACTATGAGGAACTACACCAGAGGGTGCTCAGTTTAGAAACCAGACTTCGAGACTGCATGAAAAAACTCAGTAAGTTAACCATTACATGGCATATTTTGTCCCTAAGTTATATATTTTAGAGCTTTGATGTAGAAACATAAAATCCTCTATTTTTCAGCTCTTTGACACACTGGAACAGATTCTGATCTCTGTTACACTAATGTGTATCAAGAGTGACTTCACTGAAGTCAACTGTTATGTTACTCTAGATTTCCACCAGTATTATTTAAATTAGACTCTGACCCATTGTTAACAGAAAGAGTTAAGATGCAGAATTATAAGGGATGGCAACTTGGAAATCCTAGGGACGGGGGGTCTTAGGATTGAATTGCTCATGAGCTTGTTAATGGAATGCAAAGATTGTTTCCTCTCTCACACTAGTTGTAATATAACTCAGGCCAGGATTGCCATCCAGGTGCTTTTTGGTGGCCAGTGTGATATATGTTGGCGGTCTCTGTCCAGCGTCCAATGGAGAGATATCCACATGACAAAAACCATCATCAAAATTTAAATCTTGGTTTGAAGTTTACAAATGGCCAGTTCAGAAAATGACCTCTCAGACTGTATTACCTTTGGGCCTCTAATACTAATAGGTTAGGTGTGATCCACTGATGAGCAGCATAATGAAATTAGCACTGTTATCAGCTACTTTAGCGGAAATAAGGTATTGGTGACAGCACAGCTTTGTGTTTGTTTCTAGCAATGCCATAACCTTCCTGTGTGACTTTGGGAAAGTCTCAGTTTTGGATGCCCAGTCGTTGGCTTCAGTGGGTGCTTAGGGAAATTAGGGACTAGTTGTCTAATATTGGGCACCCAAAATTAGAGGCCTTTTTTGCAAATGTCATCCTGAACAGGGGATAATTAATTCTTCTCTACCTCAGAGGCATGTTCTGAGGATTTAAAGGCCCTGGCCTGCTCCAATTAAAGTAACTGACAAAACACTTTGAGATACTTGGCTGGAAGGTACTGTTTAGGAGCCAAGAATTATTATTTATTGAAAGTCTTTGCCTTCCACTTCTCTCAGTCTGACCCCTTTTATGAGAACTAACAATTCACTATGAAAAAACATTAAACACTTAAAAATAGAACTCAGGCTTATGATAGGTTTCTCAATTATCAAATCTTGGGTGTGGACTTTTATAGGCGGTGGGTGGCATCTGAAATATGAAAGAGGTGCTGCCTATTATAGAAGATGTACATTTTTGACGTAATGGAAAAAGACAGAAAAAGTCATCTAGACTGGGTTAACCTCTTCAATTATTTATTTTCAGCTTCTTCTTTTTACACTGGATTAGCACATCTGTGATGGGCAAAAATACATGAAAGATTTCCTCAGACAGAAATCTCTTATGAGCCAATTCTCCCCCTCAATACATACACATAATAGCATGTTATTACACTGACAGAACATGTACATGTGCAGTCAAGGGAAAACAGATGCTTTGCTATGCAGCGGCAAGCAAGAAATTTGGTTGAAATAGCGACTTGTCTTGATAGTTAATGTTCTGAAGCAATATTAAGGAGAAAAAATTGGCATTCCATATTTTTCAGTCATCTTGTTTTCATTTTTTTGTGGTGAATCTCTGTAACATAAATCAATGAATTGATTGCACAATGGGAGGTATTCTGAATATCAGAATCATCCTTGTTATAGTTATGTAGTCTTTCCTACAGGTTCCTCCCACACCTTTTACTTCCCTTCTAATTATTTTCCTAGGTCAAATCCCTTCTCTTAACTCTCTTCCCATGAGTTCTTCCCTAACATACAATTCTTCCTTTCTTTCTTGACCAATAAAGAAGTCTCTGGGGACGAACTTTTTTTTTTTTTTTTGTATTGGCAATTGAAGGGGAAGAAGTTCTATCAAATAAAAGTAGCAAATACACACACCATCACCACATTGAACTAAAAATCATACCCTACTGCTAGTATCTGTATGCAAGTTGGATGAAACTGCACTACAGGATCAGAAAGCCCCCTCTTATCTGTGCGTGCGCATTCTCTCTCTCTGTCTCTCAGAAATTCATCTCCAGATTGATTCTGAATCCAAACTCTGCAACTCAGTTATCTCCCTATATAGATACAATTGTATGATTTCCCCAGGGCTCCTTTTCCCTCTGCTTACTGCCAGGATCCCATGTCTTTCTCTGTTTTTAGGGTTCTTTCTTGTTTTCCTCTCCACCTCCCTGGACCTATGTCTCTGCAGCCCTCTTCCTTCTTTAGCCATGTAACAATCACATATTCTCCTAGTCCACAGGCAACTACATTTTGAGCCTCAATAGTATGATGATGCCAGACAATAACACTAGTAAGGCTTTACCATCGAATGTTTTCATATTAGGGCCTATGGTGTGCCTGCATGCTTAAGGAGTTTAAAGGGGGTTTCTGGCTAACTACTGAAAGGATTTCAGCCTTCTTAAATCCTAATGCAGAATTGTCTTTGCTCCAATGGGGGTAATTCTCAGAGGTCCAGGTGCTCAGAAAAGGCTGAGAAAAGCATAGCACAGCTCAGGTGGCTTTTGAGCTCCCCTATTCCTGGACTGGCTGTGTTCCTGGCAAGTCCCCACATGCAAGTTAGAGCAGCCTGAAATCAGCTTAAAGTTAATCTTGCTGTATATAGCCCCAAGAGGCTGATACAGCATCTGGGGATCAGGGGGCAAAAGGAAACTCCAGCTATCGCCCATTTCACCCCAGTCGTGCCCATTGCACTGAAGGGCTATGCCTACTCCACACCACTTGAGGATCCTTCTGCGCTTAGGACCAGAATCCTCTGGCCGTGTAGGACAGAACAGCAACACTGTACCCAGGATCTGGGCTTGAATCATTGCAGAGTTTTTGTTGAATCTTGCAGTATAGCTATCTAACCAGCACGTGTAATGGCTTTTTTTCCCTCTTCTTTTCCCTAGCAGGTGTTTTCCAGTAATATAACTGTTATATTATGCATTATTTATACAGTTCTAGCCACTTAAAAGTAATTTTCCATCTGCACTGGCAACCCTTGCAACATTCATTAACATACAGTGAGCAGTCATTTCACTTTCACTGAGATTTAATGATTTCCACAGCCATTGTGAAGAGTGAAACTTGTTCCTTCTCCTTAGAATAGGAAAATGTCACTTTGCAGCAGTTGATAAATATAGCCTACATTTTCAGAAGTGTGCATGCAGTTTAGCATACGCATGACTTGTGTGCATACATTTTGTTGTCTGCGTATAAAAGGGTGTGTGTGCTTGCATGCATTTGTGTGTGCAAATCCTCAGCTGGCACGCATGCAAGTCAGATACACACAAGAAAATGTAGGCCTTAATGTACTGCACATAATGTGCTGTACATAGGGACAATTTTTACTCTAGTAATACACTGCTTTCCTATGATTTATCACCTTCATTTAATCAGCTACTGTGCATTAACGCTATTTAGTAGTGACAGATTTTTAAAAATAAGATTAGTCTAGTAAATCAATATTCTCTCAGACAACAGTTGCCTATGAAATATGAAATAAACTATTAGACTGGATACATGCTGGACTCATTTCCAGCTTCTTATACAGCAAGGTCAAGGGAAAATTTGACATTGATATTTTTGCTTGGGGCCAGGAAAGTGTGATACCATATTCAACAAAGAAATCCCATCATATTGATCACAAAAGAGATGGTAACATTGGCAAAGGATTCTTTTATTGATAATAGTGATTCTTTGTATGGTACAATTCCTGTAGATTCTGAGGAGCTTTACAAACACTAAGCTGTACAGTCTTCTGTGAGGGAGGTAAGCATGATTATCCCCATTTTATAGATGAGGAAACCAAACAAAGAAGGTAAGTGACTACACCACAGATTACACAATGAGTCAGTGACAAAGCTCAAAATAGAACCAGGAATTTAAACTCCCAGTGGTAGGCTTTAACCACTAGACCATCGTATTTCCCAGTTTGGGGCTAAGTAGGATAATAGATACATAAACTCTAAGTAAAGGGTGAGTTCAGTCTCTAGCTCTTCATTTTGCAGTGTAGTCCCATAACAAATTTTATCCTAAGGAAGGATACAAAAGAAGTAAAGCATCTGGAAACTGCTTGTGCACACACTGAAAAGTGGACTCACTTCCCTCTACCCTGTTCATTACCCATAATAATTCAGGTCAGTGTTTAGTATCTAAATAAATACCTGAAACACTCTGCATATAAAAGCCCGATCGACTGTGTTTGAGACAGAAAAAGGAAAATCTCATAACTAGGTACTAGCAGAGTTCAATAGATAAATATTTATTAATTAACCAAGAAAACTTCTATTCTGTCCTTGTACTAAATGTATTCGGCTCATTTTCTTTCAGCAATACATCTAAAAAGTAACCTTACATTAAAAATAAAAATGACTTATATGATCATTACAGTGGGATTGTTTTGTTTTGTGGTATATGGTATAACTTGTAATCTTCAGGGTAAACACTAGTCATCACAGAGATTGTGGGGATATATTAGCATTGGCTACCCACACCTATGTGTACCCTCAAAACAGCCACATGCTCAATGGTCTTCCCAGCCTCCCCCACATGTTCTAGTGACATACAGAATAGGTGCTGGCAATGTCTCATCACCCCATGGACAGTTCTGGAAGGCATTCTGCTTTTCAGGATTCCCTAGCATGCAGGGATAGTGCATCCACTTCTACACTCCTTCATGGGTAGTATACACTCCTCATCCCGTACCCTGATCCTCTTCTTAAACCAGCATAAATCATGACCAGCTGTAATGAAGTCTATGGAGTAACACTAGTACAAGAAGGGAATCAGGCCACAAACACCCATGAGATGGTGCACTGTACTCCTTATACAGTCACATTTAGTGAACAAACATTAAAAGGCTTGGCTGTTCAGTTAGGATAACCTTTGGGATTTTCAAATGCGCTCAGCATGGGCCTTGCTGTTTCCATTGAAATCAATTAAAGTTTTTCCAGTTGAAGCAGATTTAGACCAATACTCAGTGTTTTAGAAAAATCTCACCCTGAAAATCTGCTGTTATCTAAACCTATCTGGA